CACTGAAGCTGCAGCAGCAAAGGCCACCAGTGGCTTCCTTCATAAGAAATCCAATGAAATCTTACCTAACTTTTCTAGTTCTTTCTGCAGCACTGGAAACTGCAGGCCATAACCTTTTTTCCATCTGCATCTTCCTTTACTTTCATGAAAAGAAGATCCCCTGGATTTTCCCTTGGCCTTTGGGTTGCTGTCAAGCTTTTCCCAGGTTCTTCCATTGGTTCTTACTTTTTCATCCACTGCTTGGTGTTGGTGTTCCTCAGTCTCTGGCCTCCACTAAGCCCTCACTCACTCTATACATTCTTTGGACTATCTCATTTTTTCTACTCATTGCTTTAATTACCACAAAACTGACAGAGGCTTTCAAAGCTAAATATCTGGTTAGATATTTAGATTAAACTCCAGATTTATAAATGAATCCATTCCTTCAAAAATATTTTATTGAGTGTTCTCTATGTGCCAGAAATAGTTCTGGTTGCTGATCCAACATGGTTGGAAATAGACTGTGCCTCGTTCACTGCTATGTTCCCACCACTTACAATCTCCACCTGAATGACTCACAAACATCTAAAACCCAACATGTTCAAATCTGAACCCATTATATTCACCAGAATATGTGCCCTTCACTCTTTGTCCCATACATTAGTGAACGGCACTTCTATTCCTCAAAGCAACCAAGTCAGAATCATCTTCCTCATACCACATGTCAGACTGGTGAAAACAATCTGCAAATTTTATCTCCTTAACATTTCTTTGGTTAAACTTCTCCTTCTCATCTCCATAGTTACTGCCTTAGTTCCTTAGGAAGTCATCTCTCATCTTTCTAGTATGATCCACAGCATATAGCAGATAGTCAACAGACATTCACAGAATAAGTTTATGAATAAATGAACACAACAATGAATGGAAAACTCACACAATTGCTATCATCTACTTATAGGCCATATTGACTCCATTTTGCACTCCGATTTATTTACTGAACTAATGAAAGGCAGATCTTTCCAAAATTTATATCTGATTATGTCATTCCCCTGATTATCACCATTCAATGACCACTACTGCCTACAGGATAAATACCAGATACTATGGTCAGCATCTGAAGCTATCCAAGAGATTGGTTACTTGCCTTTTGCTCTATCTTCTTTTCTTGCGGCTTTCTACACCCTGAAAATACTTAACAGCACCTAGAATTACTGTGCTGATTCACAACCCCATATCTTTACTCAAGCTGTTTTCTCTGTCAAGATTGTTCATTCCCTCCTGCTGTGCCCACCTGAAAATTAACTACTCATTTGTGGAAACTCAGCTTACACCTCACTTCCCCTTAGAAGCCTGTGCTTACATTTCTGCCCAGACTTCACTTCGTAACCTCTCTTTCTAAGTACACCAATAACATTGTTTCACACTTGTTCACAGGCTTGTAGTAGTCCTTTGCTGGAATCTTTTCCTTCCTCCAGAGTGGAGGCCTTTGCCTTGTTAATTTGGGAATTAGCACATATTACACACTCCAATACTTGTAGATGGATAAATAGATGAAGGAGTAGGTGATGAGAGTCATGGAAATATTTTAGGCAAGGGGATGATATAATAAGGTTTGCATTTTACGAACAATACTATGATGTTAGAGCAGAGAGAAAGCTGAGAACAGAAGCCAGACTATCAGGCAGGAGAATATTACAAACCATCCACTGGAGAGGTAAGAAACAGAATGGAATAGAAGTAGTAAAGAAGAAAAGGGAATGTATTTGAAAAATACCTATAAAGTAAACAAACAGTATTTAATGACCATTTGCCTGACCAGAGGGAGTAATTATGAGAAAAAGGTGACTTCAGAGCTCCTAGCTTGGGTGACTTCTTCTTGTCTCCTTGTTTAATATCTATAAATTTGCACCCACAGCATTAAGTCAGACAAAGATACATTAGGCAAAGTGATCAATTACATGTATCTGCAACACTGTTTCCCATGTAATTTCTCAGAACCACATTTGCTGCATCAGTGCAAATTTATATACGAAGCCCCATCCTGTGTTCCTCTACTACCCTCATTATTCTTCAAAATTTTCCCTAAACAAGGAGGAATTTAAAAGGGACAAACAACATTCAAGGCAATGAGTCACCTCATGTTTGAACAGCACACTAGTAAAATGAAGAAAAGTTGAAGACAGGAAATATGGCTGTCAGGTAAATCCTAAAGAATGGTAAGGGCAAGGATCTCTAATCCCCACTAATTTAAAAAGTTTAAGGGAAAGTATTTGAAATAGGTCATCCCTTCCTCTGTCCAGCCATCCTATCAATAGGCTAGGATATGTACTCTTGAAAAGACATTTTATACCCCTAAAATATTATAATAATTATTTTTGCATAAATAATAGAAATTTATATTTATCTCAAGCATAACTTTAAACATGCTTTTCTTGTTTCTTGGCAGTGAAAACACTGGTCGACCAAGTAAATTCATCCCTGAAGTACCTCATTAATCACAGTGCACTTGTTCTTGGCAAGAACCTTAATATGCTACAAAAACTGTTATTAAAGTAAGATTTGGGGATTCCCAGACTGGCAAGGAATTAGTTAATTACACCTCTCTCAAAATTATTTTATTGGGGTCTAGTTAAACTTACAGCATAAAGCAACTTCGATAAATGAATGTAATGCGTAAAGTCTGGCTATTCTAAAGCTCATTTAAAATCACAAGCAGCAACTGCCAAAGATGGCCTCTTTCCCCAGGGTCTGCTTAGTTGTGCACAATCCTCCCAGAAGATGATACTATCCATTCCCTCTTTGTGCTAATGTGGTTCTAGCACCCCTATCTAATTGCTGAGGCATTACAGTTTCAGACTCTAAAATATATAATGCAAAACTTCACATAAGCTACATCTATTGAGTACGTAATTTATTTCCTATCTACCACTAAAGATACTGCTAGACTGATAAAGCTTAGTGGATAGAGAAGTATACAACCTTGAACCTTTGGAAAAATCATTTATCAATGTTTTAAAATTCTGTAAGCCCATACAAACCTGTTAATACCAACACATGGAAAAGAAAATGTTGCGTTGCAAGTTCTCATTCATGTTCAAGAACAAGTTAGGAGATGCAAAGTATGTGCACCAACCAAGGCTTTCTTTAAGTCTGTCTGAATATACAATGCATAATATACCAAAAATGAAAGGCTAGAAATGGTATCACACTTAAAATTCAAAGCCATACATATTTTGAGCATACAGTTGTAAAGAAAAAATCATAATCTATACAGTACATATTTGCTACCAAATTGAGCATCATAATTGCTAAATTATTTCAGTATGTTCTGACAGGTCAAAATAATTTACCAGGCTTATTAAGTAATACGTTTAATTATATATCAGTTCAGAGGAGATTAATATGAAAAGCGTCAGTAGCATTTCTCTATCATTATCCTAACCACATTTAAATAAATGTGAATCTTACATAAAAGTTATACTTTTTGATGTAATACTGATGCAACACAACCGTTCTCCTTGTGTGCATTGTAAAACGGAAAGTTGGCTGGAATATTCCGCCTAATGCTACATGTTCACATCAATCAGAAACTGTAAAATTTTCCAGATACCAGAGACCCACAGATTGTAGACTCCACCAATTTCCTGACTCCTATGTGGTCGAATTCCAGGTTCACCTAGTTACAAAACCAGCCCTTCTTCCACGTTATTTCAAAACACGTTTCTGGTGTTGATGCTAATTCTACACCCCCGGAGGGAGAGAGTTATGTATGGATGGATGACACAACTTATCTCTAAAAGAAACCAAGTCCGTGTGCTCAGAACTTATTTTACTAGGAAACAAGGAATGTATCAGCGAGTATCTGCAACTTTCTCTACTGGTCTTCTAAGGTTGATGTCTATATATTTCATCTTAACAAAAAAGAAGCAGAAATAATGATACTAAAAAGAGAGGAAGCAAAAGGAGAAGAGGAAGAAAAAAAGAATTAGACATGAGGTAACATTATAAAAACAACCTTAAAATGCCCAGATAAACGTGACTCTAATAGGAGACTGAATGAATGGACTTTGTGGGAAAAACAGTAGTAAACTTTAAAGCCACTGTAAGGTTTTAAATGCCTAAGGGAAAAATAAACATTTGCTTCCAATCATTTTCTCATTAAGCATTCTCTGCTAGATGGAGAAGGCTTTCTTACACACACACACACACACACACACTTTGATTCCGCGCCACAAATGGGGACTTAATCCACTGCCTGATCTCTGTCCGAGGCGACCCATTTGCGCTTCTGCTATCGCACCTCTGCCCGCGTTCCTGCGCCCCAGGTTCCCCGCTGCCTCCCTACCCGCTGCAGCGCGGGAGCCTTGCTTCGCCTGGCCTGCTGGCCTCCTCTAGACCTTGGCCACCTTCTCCGTGGCAGGAAGGGCTACATGCACTGACAGATTTTCCGTTGGTGGTGGCTGGGTGGTGGCGAGGCGTGTTTCCGGGCGCACTTAAAACCTAGCAGCTCTCTCCACCAAGCAGCAGCTTCCCCTATTCCGCCCCTAGGACTGAGGACCTAGCCTTCGGTGCCACCTCACTCCTCCCGGTCCTACCCAGCCATCACCTCCTAACCTCCCCAATGTACTCTCAAGCCTCATACGGGCGCCTGTCCTCCCATTGCATCCCCTAGTTCCCGGGCGCCCCGTTCGGTTGAAGTTTACGTATCTTGGGACCTAATTGCTCCCAATTATCCGCGCACCCTAAGTCCCGCGTCTGCCTGGCTCCCGCCCCGGGAGCCTGAAGCTACCGGGCCGTTCATTGGGTGTCCTCGGGGAAATGGTTCAAGCTGTAGAGATGGGAGAAGTGGGGCTGGGGGAAGGGAGAGGCTCCAGAAGGAAGACCACGAACACGTGCGAAGAAATAAAAGCCACCACGTGTGCACGCGCGCGGGGCCCAAGGGCGCGAGCGCGGAGCACGCCCCAGGGGGCCAGGGACAGTGGTCCCCTGGAGCGGGCACAGCAGGGGGCGCGGGTACTCACACGAAAGCGTGGTAGATGAACGCCCAGCCGCGGGGTCTCTCCAGCACGTTGTACAGGTAGTTCTGCACCCGCCGGTACTTGACGTTGCGCCGGCAGCTCTGGCTACTCGTGTAAGAGAGCGGCTTCCCCAGCAGGCTCATTCGGGCCCCCTGCTTGCCCCGGCGGCTCTCCCTCAGGCCACCGCCGCCGCCACCGAGCGTGGCCGCGCGGGTGCCCAGCAGCAGCAGGCCGTCGCCCCTGGCGGCTGCCGAGTTCAGCAGCACCCTGCCCCGGCCCGACTCCACATCCTTCATGCCGCTGCCCAAGCGCCCCCCGCCCGCCGCCGCCGCCGCCGCTGCGCCGCTCTTCACCCAGAGCCCGGCGGCGCCGCCCTCCTCTCCTCCCGCGTGGTGGCGGGGCATGGCATCACCACGGGCACCGCGAGGGGGCCGCCAGCGCCTGCGGCGGGGGCAGCGGCCTCATGTGCGCCGGCTGGTTTCAAGGAGGAAGCCGGCGGCCGACGGGGCGCCCGCCAGCCAGAGACCTCTGAGCCGGGGGCGGGGAAGCAGGCAGCCAGCAAACCGCCCGGGCTTCGGGGCGGGAAAGGAGGGGCTGCAGAGGAGGCCGAGGAGTCCCGATTTCTAACAGCCTTTAGCTTCGAATTCTAAATCCGGACCTGTTTGGGGCGTCCGTTTGAGAGGGTTTCTCTTTCTCCCTCCTTCCCAAAGTGCCCCCGGGGACGGAGTGGGGGAGTGCGGGGCGCTCCAAGGCGCGCTCCCACGCGCGCACACCCAGCCTCAGGCTTCCCCTTTCTTCCCTCTCTCCACTCCCCACGCCTTGCCGTGAACCGACTCCAGAAGCCCCTCTCCGAGGCGCGAGTTTGGTTTGGTTGTGGCAGGGGCTTTGCAGCTGTCCGGAAGGTGAAGTCAGCCTTGTGTCCGGAGGAGACACTGGAGAGGCAGGGTCGCTGCGCCCTCCGGCTGCTACGTCGCTGCGCCGGATCCTGCCATCCTTCCGCAAGGGGTGAGAGCGGGAACAGCCCTGCCCTGCCCTCCAGGTATCAGCTAGCCTGGAGGCTGGAGCGCAAGGTAACGCTCCAGGCAGTGGCACTCGGGTCCCCGCACACGGGCGAGCCCTCCGCAGTTCAGTGGACAGACCCGAAGGACGCGGCTGCCGAGTCCGCGAGGCAAGGACCAGGCATCTTCCCGCGTCTCACTCCAGCTTGCGGACTGTGACTTTCCATCCCAGTATCAGACAACAAGTCCGCGAGTAACCGAACATCCTTTCCAGTCCATGGGTGGGGTGTGGAAAGGGCGTAAAACTCCAAAATTGCTCCTCCGCTGTGAGCGAGCTGCCCCGGGGCTCTGCCTGACTGCGGCGCGAAGCCTGGGAGAACAAACCCGGTTCCCTCCGTCAAGAAATTTCCATGTAAGTCCAAGAAAGTCATATGATTGAGAAGTTCGGCAGCGGCAGCGAGGACCCCAGTGTCTGGTAAAGAAAACCTGAGGGTGGGGTGTACCGGACGCCGGCTTTTCGGGGTTCCGACCCCACCCACCTTATGTTGTAACTTACAAGCTTAGAGACCTGTTGCAAGGAACAACTGAGTGGGTCTTCCCCCACCTCTGGCACCCGGGTGATCCAAAGCCCAGGCACCCCTGGCGGAGAGAGAGGCCACGGTGCCACTGGCCGCGGCCTCTGGCCTTCAGAAACAGTATATTACAAAGAAAAAGCAGTTTAAACCTCACATTCAGCATAGGGAAAACTGAAGGATGCCAGGCTCGGGGACTTCTTCCAACAGAGTGGCGATTCCCCGAATATGAAGGAAAACAATCATCAAATTAAACTGAAGGGAAAACTGAGCTTCCACCACAAAGACACAGCAGATAGTTGCAAGTTGGATTCCTTCGGGCCTCTTCCTTTCCTAAGGCTAAAACAATGCTAAGGCAAAAGTCTTCTTGCAGCCGTCTCCGCCCCTCCGAGATAAATACTTTCCCAATTCCCCTCCACCCTGTACACACACCCACGCCCGCAGCAGCTGATTTTTGTCTCCTGCAATAACTCGATTTAAATGCTTTGCTTTTACTCTTTATTATCACTATCATTTGTGTGAAGCCCTCTTGCCTGCTCTTGGTCACCAGCAGGAGCAAGCCCTCCCTCCTTTCCCCCAAGCCTCTGGGCAGCAGAAGCTAACTGGGAACTCTCTGCAGCTGGCGGCAACGCCACGTGACTGTGAGCCGATCACCAGCACCCAGAGTCACTCTAGCTTTCCCCAATACACTTTACGCCCACGCACTGTGGAGGTGCGAGAGAGGTTGCTCGGTGCGGTGCTATTCGAGGCAGATGCAGAGAGCGCCCTGGAGTAAGCTCTCCAATCCTAGAGCTGCGCGGGACCCTGACTGAAGGCGGAGGGGGCGGGAGGGGGGTGCTATTGCTATATTTAGACTCCCTATGGAGTTTCTGTGCAGGGACTTTCAGGGTGAAAGATCTAGAGACTTAAAATGACTCGTGTGCCCGCTTTAAACGTCAAAATCTTGGCCTTTCTGCAAGCAGTAAAATGAAAACCACTTCCTCTTAACTTAGCTGTTTTCCTTGTTGCAGACTTCTACTTTCGCTGGGTAGGTAAAGTCACTTACATTTCTCTGGCGCCGCTGGGCCCCGCATGCAGGCAAGAAGTCTCAGGAAGGCAGGACACAGGGACACGTTTCCCTGGAAGACAGCCAGCTGCTTAATTTCTGAGTGATGCTTTTCTGGGGTGCAGCAATAATTCTAGTGAAACTGTGTTATTGATTAAGCAAATGCCATTTAAGCTCAATTAGAAGAAGAAGAAGAAGAAGAAGAAGAAGAAGAAGAAGAAGAAGAAGAAGAAGAAGAAGAAGAAAGAAGAAAGAAGAAGAAGAAGAAAGAAGAAGAAGGAGGAGGAGGAGGAGGAGAGGAGGAGGAGGAGGAGGAGGAGGAGGAGGAGGAGGAGGAAGAAGAGGAAGGAGAGGAAGGAGAAGAAGAAGAAAAGAAAGAAAGAAACCGGTTTCTGGTAGTGGTTTTGAGCTGCTGGGAAGGACCTTTCGCTTTTGTCTTCTAGAGTATTTGGATACACAGCGCAGGAAAAGAGGACCCGCTCAAGTTTTCGCGGGTAGTGTATGAGAGTTACTAGGAATCCAACAACCTGGCTTCCTAGTTCACTGTTCCTTCCACCCATCCATCTGCATCTCCAGCAAAGGATGGATAAAAGAGCACACGGTTCTGGGGTTTTGTATCAATCTCTCTGACTGCAACCACTGGAAAAGACTGGCTTAGCTCTAACCATCCTACCCTTGAATGCCTAGGAAGAAAAAGCCAAGTGAGGCTGTGCCAGCCTCTCCTACAAGAGTCTCTGTTTGCACCTTGCTTTATTTGCTACCTGCTAACTTCCCTCAAAAGACGGGAATTAACTTCGGAGAAAATAAAGTGTTTGTGATTAAGCTTTGTTGTTGTTCCTTTGAATACACATGTTGCTAGGAAACTGCCTTTTATTAGTTCATTTTGCTGAAATATTAAAATTCAAATATAAGAAAAGAAGATAGGTATACTGAGCAGTGAGTAAAACAACAGTGTATATTCTATGCATTATAATTACATTAGAGCATTATGAAGAGGTAGAGGTAAAGGCAAATGTTAACTGCTAGTGTAAAGTATGTGAGTTGATTGGCCCTCCCCATCTTTTGAGATGTTTGCTTTTACTCATTCATTCTCTTAAGATGCTTGCCTGAAATTTATGACCTTGGAAACATTTTCTGAAGTCTACATGGATATGGTTTCAATTGAACATAGTTTCTAGAGATATTTTGTTTCAATGTGTTTCTTTTTCTTTTTTGGAGATGGGGTGTTGCTGTGTTGCTCAGGCTGGTCTCAAACTCCTGAACTCAAGCAATTCTTCCACCTCAGCCTCTCAAAGTGCTGAGATTACAGGCGTGAGCTCCTGGCCTCAGTGTGTTTTCTATTCCATTGTATTATCCTTCTGAAAGGTACTCGGAAATAATAATATTTAAAATTCTATACATGAGTTAGAGATGCACAAAAAAAGGCTTTCCATGCCCATAAGAGGCCTAGAATAACTGGATCTGGACCAGTTTCACGAAGCGTCAATGACCCATTACCCTCCCACTTTCCTTCTTCATGCTTACCCATTTTCTCATTTGCCCCAATCTCCTACTACAAGATATGCCCCTACCAAGTCATGTTCATGATTCTGATCAACTAGTGAGTGATAGAAGTGCCACTCTTGAGTGATATGGATGCATTTTGATCCAGTGTGAAATTCCTGGGCTAATCAGAGAGGGAATGATAAATAGAATTATTAAACCCTATAATAAAAAGGAAATGCATGTGACATGAGTCTGCTTGGGAAAATAATGAAGGGGCAAATATAAAACTAAAAAAGTAGAAAATAACAAACAAAAAGAAAATGCACTAATGGAGAAATGGAAATTCATGATTGGCTGCTGTTTAATGATGTGCACAGGGCTCAGCAATTTGCCTTGTAAGTGTAGAGGTAGAACTGAAGTCTCCAGACTCCTGAATATAAGTCCCTTTAAGCTACACCACCCTTCTCCTTAGCTTTTATTTCCTTCCAATCAGGCTGTAACCAAACCAATAAGCATAGCAACTATATTGCATTTCATAGACATCATAATCATTGGTTCAGTAAACATATTTATCTCCTACTACTATTTTAAATGTATCAGCATAATATACCACTTGTTTTGATCAGTCATCAACAATTCTTATCTCTAAGAGATATCATACAAGTTTTTCACGCTGTTTCTTCAACAAGCAGAAATTAATCAGAGAATCCAGGACAACATCAGAGATCCTATGAGCCTCACCAGACTGCGTGAGAGTAATAACACAGTAAGAGTCCCAGGCCTACCTCACACAGCAAGTGGGACATTGTTCCTCAGAACAGCCTTTGCCTCAGGGACGCAGAAAGGAGGCAGGTGTGAATGAGTGTGGCTGTAAGGAAAGGCTGGTAGAGAAATAGTGCAGAAAGGGCTCAACAAGTTCTCACCATTTTTATTCCAGCAGCTAACAAAATTAACATTTCTAGGAATTACTGAAATATTGTGCCGACCACAATTGTTGAGGCAAAATAATAGCAAATACTTATCATGTGTTTTGTATGTGTTAGGCACTGTGGTTTACAGTAATTATTTCAGGCCAGGTGTGGTAGCTCACGCCTGTAATCCCAGCACTTTGGGAGGCCGAAGTGGGAGGATCACTTGAGATCAGAAGTTCAAGACCAGCCTGGCCAACAGAGTGAAACACCATCTCTACTAAAAAATACAAAAATTAGCTGGGCGTGGTGGCAGGTGCCTGTAATCCCAGCTACTCAGGAGGCTGAGGCATGAGAATCGCTTGAACCTGGGAGGTAGAAGTTGTAGTGAGCCAAGATGGTGCCACTGTACTCTAGCCTGGGTAACAGAGTATGAGACTCTGTCTCGAAAAAAAAAAAAATTCACTTGATTGTGACAATAGTTTCATAAGTAAGCACTACAATCATATCCAATTTACAGGCGGAGAAACTGAGGTGTAGACAAGTTAATTTTTTTAAAACTAAAAAGTAGCTGAGGCAGGGCAAAAACACAACCAAAACTAGATTTTTAACTACTAATCTATATCAGCTTTTGAATAAAAAATACTTAGCCTATTATTGTGTATT